ACTTATCTAGATGATGAAGGTTACAGGGCTGGGTCCTGGTGAGAGAGGTCAACTTATGTGGAGAGGAGTGTTTTAACCATTACTCCCTGGAATGCCAGAACAGCAGGAAAATCCTAACATTTACATTGCCCTATTTTCATTAAATGAAAAAGACAAGGAAAAGGGGGAATACCAAAAGTATTTTCTCCTGTTTACTAGGATACCAGTATACATTTCTTTTGAAATCCTTTTTTCAGAACAATTTTACTCATTGCATTTGCACTGGTGACTGGTATCAACTTTTCTCCATTCTTGAACTTTATTTTTGTATTGTGAATATTGATAAAATCTCACTGGAGGCTGCTTGATCAACTGGACACCCATCCTGGTAAATAACCATTTGGTCGACGATTTTTTGTTGTTGAACCATTGTCAACTAATGACAATTTCAAGTATTTCCCAGAATTATTGCATGTGTCGTATTCAACGAATGCCTCAGCACTTATTGAACCGTTTCTTTTTGAAGATAATGATTATTCTATATGGTACCACTGCATAATCACAACGGAAGGACACCCGCAAAGGAAATTGATGACCTGGAGGTTGAACAGCAAACTCACTCCATCAAGTCACCTAAATAAGGAAGAATTGCTATAGGTGATTTAGACTTTAGAGAATAAGAGAATGCTGCACAGCACTCTCCAGATGAAGAGAATTTTATTATTTCCTCACATTCAAAACATACTGTAATTGAATATTCTCCACACAGGATGGCCAATGCATGAAGTTTCAGTCATATTAATACCAATCTGGCACTAGCTTCAGTAATCCAGGTTATTTCACTTGCAGGAAAATGCCTTTTTTTCAGACAATGCATTTGGATGAGGAACCAGAAAGAATTCTAACCGAGGAAAATTGCATTCTTGTGGAAAAGATGGAAACCTTACACCGATGTGAAGAGGGAGTCATTTGGACCTCAAACTGCTGATTGAAGGAACTTGGCAGGATAGATGCTAATCTTGAAAGCAAGGGTCCTTAGGCTCAGCTATTCAATTTTGTTTGAATAACGTCTAGCTATGTTTTTACTGCACTTGCACGTCCTTCGTTCCAAAAATAATAGTTCACCGGTGACAAGAAATTCAAGTTACTGAGGCTGCTACGGATCCGGGGACCGAGTTGAGGTCCTCAGTTTTAAATAGCTTTGTTCCCCTGGGAAATCCAGACCAGAAGGAAAAAATCGAACAAGGACCGTTATTGACTTGATGAGGTTCAAGTTGCATGGTTGGAGTTTCTGTAAGTCGTGGTACCCAACCAAGGTGGAAGGTGCAGCTTACCGTGAAGAGTTACAAGCATGCCTGTACTGTAATCCCTGATTTTTTGCATGAACGAAAGGGGCTTTTGGCAGCGGGGGATTTGACCTAGGGGGGGGGGGGGGGGGGGGGGGGGGGGGGGGGGGGGNATAGGGCTTTCAGAGGCGCGCTTTTGACCAAGGGAGGCTTTTGGACTACAATCCTGGAAGCATACACAGGTCCTGAAGGAGTTTGTCAATTTATTGAACCCTGTCTGGAAGAGTTATCAGGATCGAAAACGCGATGGAATTTTATCGGGAGTCATGAGAAAGTCCTTCACTTTTTCCCATTCGGGTTGCGTGGAACTTCTGACACCTGTCCCGGATTACGTTTTATCTACCTTGTCACGGACATAAATACGGAGTTTGGCATTTCCGGGTTCTACCATATTTCGTGTGTGCTGCAAATAAGGGATTCGGCTATCGTCAGTCCAAGGCTCAGTTTTTCGGAACCATGAAGTTGTTCGTTGCTGTTTCGTTTCTGTTGGCAACCGCATCTGCGGCGCCTGTGCAGAGGTGATGTATTTATCCTATAGCTTGGGGCTTCTCCCCATTGTCGCGTCGGAGTGGCTTAATTGCCCTTGGTGTGCTTGATTCATTGATGGGTGGGTAACATTCCAGTTGCAGTCTGTTCAGGGTGCGATTGACAAACCGCTGTTGGCATGAAAGCAGGTACTCTATACGCGGAAAGCAGAGGAACTGCTGCTGTATAGGGAGTTGATTTTCATTTGAATTAAAAGTGCGGTCCACATGCAGAAAAAAAAGTTTCACATCAAATATGTTTCAATGATGTTCATTTGAAATGTTTAATTTCGCCTGGCAATTATTTCCAACTGTGGAACAAGAGGAAAAGAAAAAAAAGCTGGGACAGCAGCATTGGATAATAGATCTTCCCGTTGGCTTTTGGAAATGAGACAGGAATGCATAAGAAAGGGCCACAGGGAAAGGTTTTCTCTGTTCAGTGTTCAAGAGTAGATTGTGGAAAGGATTTTTAGGATCAACCAATATTTTAACCCCCCCCCCCCCCTTCCAACTTTCTTTGACCTGCATCAACAGAACAGTATTACAGGCTGGCTACTATTCCCTTATACGCGTCCTTCAAGGTCCAGCAGTTATTAACTTATTACAGACTGGTCTCTATTGGATAGACTGGCATTTATTGGAGCGTTCACTGCAGTTGGTGTCTGCTGAGCATATAGTCCGCATTTTGTCTTTGCTCCCTAAGAATTATACAATCCTACGAAGTTTTCTTTTATTTTCTTACCTGGACTAAAAATTGGAAGAGATGAGTTTTCGAAATGTTTCAGCTACAGACAGACACAGCACATGACTAATAGTGACACAGTAATTTGTACATATGTGTCCATGATGTCTTGGTGTCGAATAGTGAACAGCAGAGGTTGGTTTTTCCCAAACTGGTACTACGTATACGTATACCAAATACTGTACCCCGAGTTTTCTCCGAATTTTTCAAAAATATCCAGAGAGTCTTCCCTCTAACCTCAACCGCATAGATGTGTATTCAAAGAATTTTACCATATTTCTCGTTATCTGATATGGTACAAAATTCTCCAGAAATGCATCAATGTCTTCATTCAATCTTCTGTCGAGACTTGATGAATACTGGGAAAGAATTCATCGCCCCAACACTTTCTGAATTTCGAATCACCAGCTATTGATATTTGTGTAAAATAGAAACTCATTCTTGGAAAAAACGGACTGGCCAGAACCTCCGCCGCCAAAGGTTTTTGAGGTTCTTGCCAGTTTACTCCATCACTTATTATTATTTGTTTCTCTTTCCAACTATTTGCGTATTTCATGTACTTTACAGTTCGCGAGCAAAAGTATATCTGAATTTTCCAAGAACGTTAATAAATAAAGAAAAAATTTCCTCATTGACAAAAACTATTGACTATCCCCTAGAAATTTTTGAAAATAAGCAAATTCCGTGTTTGTAAGCACTGTTCAGTACAGTAAACAGCGGGTTCGTTAATAATTTTTCTTTCGGTTCGATTTTCTTCTCCCGTTGTTGGTCTCGTTCCCACTGCTAACGTACTCGCATTTGGTTTCTTTTGCTTTTCTTACTACTGCATCAGGACACTGACTGAGTCCCTGGATGAACTCCTCGCTCTCGTCAACTTCGAGGGTTACAAAGCCCTGATTGCTGATCAGCTGGCCAACGACGCTGACATGCAACGTCTTGCCGCTGTCCTGAGCGCACCTGATTTCGTTGACATGGTTGCAGGTGTTCTGCAGAACCCCGATTACCAGGTTGGTATCAAGCGTGATTGGACACGTGTGTTAGATTCACGGTGTCAAATTCGGGAATTACCTGTCCTGTATAGTGGGGAACTATTTTTACTGTCACACCCCACAGTAGGTGCACAACACAGTCACAACTGGTGCATATATGGGATATTCTTGGTTTTACAAGTGTGCACTCCTGTAGAGGAAAATGTTGCTACCATTCCAGGGATACACTTGGTGCACAAATGTGACATAAGAGATAAGAGGAGCATTGCACAAATGCACCAACTGTAACCTTGGTGTAGCTTATTTTTTTTACAAATGTGACCCTGAGTAATCTTGGTGTGAACACACAATTGGTGCGCATTAGGAATATGCATGTGCAACAGAAAAACTTTGGAGCACTTCAAGTGCACAGCAAGGTCACTGTGTAGAATAACGACCATGTTCCCAGTGTGCACACCAATTTCCCCACTTGGGTGCCTTTCCTCCCACCTTTCCACAAGAAGAAAAAAATCTGTCTAATATCAACTACAACCGCATTCCATCAATCAAATATATGCAGTGATTGTAATCAATATTCCAGTCAAAAAAAAAATTTTTTTCCACTGCTCATGTTTTTTCACCTAGCAGCGTCTCAATATGACGAACTGGAAAATGTTTACCAATTTCAATCATCCGCACACAAAAAAATGGCTCATAAACGGTGATGATATAAGTTAAACAAACAATCCTGCAATTTGCGTAGACTGCACACAACCTTCAGTTGTGCAAAATTGATGCATTTATGCTGCATCAAATCTTCATCAAGGTGGCATTGTATTGATTTGCGAATTGCGCCTGTTTTTGGTGCCTCGTGTTTATGGCGGTGATAAGTTGCATTGCGTAATTGAAAAAAAAAGGTTTTGAAGAATTCGAGAGGGCTTCTCAGAACCACAATTTTGGCAGAAATTCACACCCGCCCATGTTATGAGTTTCGGAGTAGTTGGGCAGTGAGAAGGGTGAGACTAAATTTAAAAGCAAACTTGTCAGCCATTTTCAATACCTTTTCTTGCATCACGCCTTCCCTACCAGATAAGTAGCATTTTTGTGTTTTCATTGTAACATGCCTTCCTTTCCCAGGGCCGAGAGCAATATTTTCATTCTTCGAAAGGGACAGAATTATTAGTTTCCAGACTCATCCTCAGAACCTTTCTCCTGAAAAAGAACCTAGTATGCCTATTTATCCACTGAATGACAGGCGGCAACGCAGCAACATACTGTATGTCACCATCAGCTTCTCGGATGAAAAAATTTCTGTAGAAACATCGCATTATATTTTTTTTATTCGTGGATTGTGATAAATTGTTTTTTTTTTTTGAACTCCTTGTCATGCGCAACAGCTTTATATTGGGCCAGACAATCCACTCGGAATTCACTCGAAAGCGAGTGCACTCAGGTTGGATTCAAATAAGTTTGGTTCGACGATATCGTAATTAATGCCGAATGCATTGACGAACATGGAGAGGTAGGCCGCGTAACATGGATTGGCCCCATCCAAAATTTTTGAATATACAGTATTCCGCTTGATTCACGCTTTTTCAATTCCAGTCATTAATGACAGACGATACATGATGCCCTGGACTGAGCCTAAAGCGTGTTGTTTTTCTAGAGCAAGATCAGACGCTCAGTTGTTTAGTAAGCTAGATTCTCAGAACTAGCGTATTGACGTTGAAGGGAACAAGTGTAAAGTTTCACATCTAAAGAGCATCTATTCTCTACACACGAACCACGCGACAGGTCACTAAATTTTTTTAACGCTCATTATTGCTAGTCTGATACATTCAACTCGACATTTGCTTAAATTTATATTCATTACTATAGCCTCAAAATCCGAAAGTTTTCACTGGAATAGCGCAGTGCTGGAATTGTAAGGTTCCATGGATCATTTCGAATGTCCCATCACATTTACTGCAGACAGAGTTTTTTTTGTTTCGAATGGCATGGCGTGACATTTCTTTAAAGAACACAGAAAGTGTGCCTTGTCTTTGCCACACTTGCTGAGCTGTGACAGGTGATTTGGGTACTTTGTATAAGCAAAGGAGCTGCGGGTGCTTACCATTACTGCATGAGCAAGAAAATGTCCATTCTTGCTACAAAAGTCATCCAAAGCAACTTATCCAAGAATCTTGCCAAAATTTGATTGGTTTCCAACAAGTTGCTTTGGTTGACCCTTGTATGAAAATTGGACAACATGTCCAATTTTGGTTCACAAGCCATCCAAAAGTTTTTGTCCTTTGGATAAAAAATGGACAAGTTTTGTGGTGATTTAGGACAATCTTTGGATAAAAATTGGACGAAATGTCCAATTTTTATTCACAGGATGTCCCAATTCTCTCCAAAACTTTTTTTTTTTTTTTTAGTTCAGCTTAAATTTGGTAAACTTCCCCACCCACCAGAGGACTTCACACTCCTCTTCACAAGAATCAATTCTCCCTGCATCTGATATACAGCTAATCAAGATGCTGTATTGACATGCAGATTACAATGAGCATCTTTCCTGTGGAAACTTTTCATATTACCTATTTATCGAATGCACACATGCTCCTAATTTACAATTAATCAAGCAGGTATTCTCCTACTTCGCTAATCTAATAATGCTAGAGTACTCGCTGCTGTAGATATACTTTGAAGAGTAAAGAAGTTGCTACCTAATTGGGAATGGAACTGAGGACTTCTGGCTGGGGAGTTAAACCCCAAAGGCGGACAGGTACAGCCCACTCTACTTGGATCTTCTGCCCACAAATTCAACTTTATGCCAACAATTTTCTCTCCTCTGGCCAACAAGTTTGGATAACATGTCCACTGAGCACAAACCTCCGGCGGACATGCTCTCCGAACTTTGTCTGTCAGAGCAAAATATTTGCAGACACGTTCTCCAAAAGATGTCCATAGAACTCATTCAGATCAGTTTATGACATCTTTTGGACAACTTCTTGCTCATATACAGCAGTACTCCATACTACTGTACTGTAGTATGAAGGACGGTTCATGACTTTCAAGCAATACGATGCCACACTTATTCATACGATAAATCGAGCATGAGTGCGACTTGACCGAACTCTTCTCGCTTTCCTCCATTTTTAACATTCTTCATCAAGGGTAAGGGAAAATACTAAGTGGCACATTTCATGAGCCCTCACAATGTTAGGGGATAATGGATACTCGTTTTGCGCGAAAAAGGAATCCCATTCCCCCACACTACGGTGTGACTGTTCCCCTGAACGGATTTTCCCCGTCAACTAACGAAATTGAAGAGCACTCAGGAAAATAACTGAAATCATCAGATCGAAGTGTGATACATGAATGACTTTTATGGGGGCTGTTATATACTGTAGTACCATTTGGTATTTTTGTGCTGCCGGATTCCATCGGAAACCCGATCCTTCTCTTTCAAAAATAAATGGTTTTTTTTATTTCAGCGCGGAATAAGGTGGAAATTTCCTCAAAATAATGTTTCTATCACTTCGAATCCTCTCAATTTTTTGTCATACTCAGACGCCTGTCAAAACGATGCGACGTGTATTTTCAAAACTCAGCAGAAACAATCACGCAGAAATCGTGGGAAATCATTTTTTTTAATAAATAGCAACTTCATGGAACAATTCTCGTGCTCTGATGCAACAGGAGAAACGAAGATTTGGACATTTTTCACAAAATTCTTCTTCTCCAGCTTTCGATTTTCACAAATGAAAATGAAAAACAGTTGTCATTGTCAGCGCTGAAGAAGACGATAGTAGCTGTATTTCGCCGGTCATTTGACATGTCAAGGACATTGTGAACCATTTCTTTGCTTGGACTTTCAAAGGATCTCCGATAAAATAGGAAAGATTAGAATGCAACGAATATCAATGACAAGTAAAATTCGTCGAAGCCAAAACGAGTTGCTATACAAATTACGTACCGGCTCAGAAACAGATTCGGATCAGAAGAATCCGAGGAATAGAAAAATGGGAGAACCCATCCATCATGCACTCGTTTATCATCAGTCCACACTGTAAATGTGAATGCCTCGATTCAATCCGCAGGATCCGCCGAATAATAAACGAGGCGAATGAAATTCCCACGGCCATGTTAATTGAATGAGGCATATTAAAACCATGATGGGCCGGGGCATGGGATTGAACATGAGCAACAATGCAAGTGTCTCTGATGATGATGTCTCTCACTCCCTCTCTCTTTGTCATTATTCCACAACATAATAATGCAGGCCTTCATCGAGTTCAACGACAACAAGGGCGTCGACATCATCAGCTACATCCAGTTCGTCATCGACGCCCTCGGCTGGCCGCAGAAGCAGACGACCGGCGCCATCGGCAGCCGGACCTACGCCGACCTCTTCGCGACCTGGCAAGTGTTCTTTGAGCCCGTCGGCGCCGACGCCCTCTCCTGGCTCCTCACCGCCATCCAGGAGAATGTGGACGTCCAGGACCTGCTCATCTACATCCAGGGCCAGAGCTTCCAGGACCTTGTCCAGTACATCCGTACCCAGGGCCCCGTGGTCAACGTGAGTCCATCTGAATCCATGTAGTATACGGTACAGTACTGTACTGTATATACTCCAGCAGTAGTGCAGGATGTACTCGTATACACGTGACTCGCGATTGATTCGTTTGTTGCTGATACTGCATTATGCAGCTACATGGTAATGCGTTCAACTCAATGCATGCATATACGGCATTTACCGCATGGGTGCTCACCTTTTTCTCAAATTCATATATAGGCAGGGTTAGAATTTACGAAAAATTTTGAAACTTTAGGTGCGATGACTGTAATAATGGGGGATATTTTGCGGAACTTCCATGAAATAAAAAAACAGAAAATTAACAAGACTTCAGGTTGAATTCGTGTTGAATTTTAAATTCTGCTGGTGTCTGTTTTTGTTTTGTTTTTTACACGTACTTTTTAGTTTTTCAGTCACTGAAATTTGGATGCACTCATTTTTCGGGGATGGGATTTCATCGAAATTTAGGGGTACATAGATTGAAGTGGGTGCCATAATTCAGAGCAAGTGATGGTACTTCGAGTGAATATTGTACCCGAGTACCAGCGCACGCCCTTGACTAAGACGCCCACCTGGGTTTTCGATCGTAAAATAATTTGGATGAAATCCTATCCCCGAGAATGGAACTGGCCCCATCCTCAGTGACTCAAAGAGGGCAGATGTTGAAAATGAAATGCGTCAAAATCAAAATTTCAACTTTTATCCAACCCGAATTGAATAAAGTTTCCATTTATTATTGCTCCGAATGAAAATGATGCCTTGCTGAGATTTTTGAACGATTGTCCATGAGGGACAAGCTTCGAGAGCACTTCAGCTTCTGAAATTCGTTTGGATTGTGTATATCCACTTTTCTGATTGAACAACGGAGGTCTTGAAAAGAATGCTTCTGGCGGATGAATCACGTATGCCTTCGTTCTACTCCGACTCCATGTCGCCAATAAATTCAGACGGTTCAATACTGCAAATAGTAAGACTCATCAGAAGGAGTAACACTCTTCGTCATATCCAGCGTGAATTACAAAATACAGCACTGTAGAACCCCAAGGGGGTTTTGTTTCCAAAAATGTTCTCGCGTGTAGCTGTTTCTTTGCTTGTTCCCTTTCTTTTCTCGAGGACAAGCCTCCCAAAATCTGAGTATAAAAAATGTTTGCTTTCATCCCCAATGAAATACTTGCTGGACTGCAATGCTTAATTTGTATTGACCTGCTCAACTGGATGTCTTTTCAGTTGGTCGCTGATTTGGAGGCCGAAGGTTTGGACGTGACGGGAACATTCGCTCTCATCATCGAGTTCTTGGGCTGGGATTTGCCGCCTTACTAAATCGACGCGAATTCCCTGACATACTTTTCCAAAGCACACGCGCTGCAAGCAGCACATAACACGCTTTGTGCTTTGTAATTGATTAAGGAGAGGGGGGGGGGGAGAAACAAATGTGCAGCCGTCAGAATAAAGCAAAGAAAAGAAGAAGAAGAAAGCGTATAGCAAACTGTGTTTTCACTTTGAAACAGAGGGGGGGGGATAATTTGCTCCCTTTATTATTTGTACTCCCGCAGTACTCCGCAGCACAGGTGGAAAACGCATGGCAAGAGTACATTTTCGGGATCCCACAAACAGTACAGAAGAGTGTTTTGAGCAGTGAGGAACACAGCAGCACGCGCATTGCAGATACACGAACGAGAACAACTTTTGACAGAACATGGGGATGAAGACGCTTCAGGTGAGCATTCGTATATTTCCCATGAATTCATACTGTTCTCGCGAATACTGTGTAAGAATTGTATGACACAATGCTTTATAGATTGTATAGAATTCACCTCAGTTGTTCAGTTTTTGAAAACACCAGAAAAACTTAATTAGGATTCCACAACAGAAAAAAAGACACTTATTTTACATCAGCGAGGCTGAGAAACTCCATCATTCCACCTGTCTAACAATAATGTGATGTGCTTGAGGGGTGATAATTTACGTGCGTCAAATTTAAAATGGCAACAGATCATTCAAAGAATCCACTTTGATGATAATGCAGGGCCTGATCCAGTTCTTCAGAAGGTCGAAGTTAACTTCTCCAGCTATTATTCTCACCATGATATTTTTGTCATTGCAAAAAATCACTATCACTGCTCTAGTGAAATTCCCATCAGTGGACGCCTTTTCAATTCTCTCTTTTTTCTTGAACAAGTAGCGTGCACATACTGTATCCTGCGTATCTCTGGAATTTATTTCGAACTCACTGCAAACAAAATTTAAGCACGTCAATTACCCCGCTATCTTGATTGCATTATTGGATTACAGGAGTCAAACTTTGTTAGCGGATGAGAAGTTTCAATTTGCAGGGGATGGGGGGGGGGGGGATTAGATGCCAATGATTGTAGAAGAGAGTTCCTTTTTCATAAAACCTGAATGGTGTTTCAGCAGGGGATTCTCTTTGGCATCCTTCTCATGGTTGCAGTCATCCACGGCCAGCAGGCGGCGATGAGGTATGAAACACCTACACTTGATCATCCATCATCATTGCCACCACATGCAGTACGACACGTGATAGTCAGATCAAAACATGTTTTTCTTGCTCCCTTTTCTAGCGCCAATACTGACAGAGTCCCTGCAAGTCAAGTTTCCCTGGCGAACGTTTTTGACGAATTCTCCAGGCATGTCTATACATAGAAATCAAACTGTCAGGTGTCAAGATACATCACAGGATGATGATACCTACAAATTAACTGTGTTTTCATATTTCTCTGTCATGCGACGATGTTTCAGGTTCGTGGAGTTGCAGACCCGGGTGATCATGGACCTCACTCAGCTCATCAACTCACTCGGGATGTAGCCCAAACAATGATCGCATCTCCCCATGAATCGCGGTTTTTCTTTTGTTCATTTCCCATGTGTGATGGCTGTATAAAAAAACCTCCTGTATGATGAACGCGTGTGGGAATAAAACCTCAAGATACGTGTGATGCACATATACTGCAGCAGAAATTGACAGAGACCTATCATCAGCAGCTTTCTAGTCAGAAAAGAAAAGAAACTGCAGTATACTGTAACAATGCTTTCCTTCCATGGCAACTATATACATCCCCAGTGGGGAAATGGGTGCACACTGGGGATATGTTTTTAATTCTACACAGTTACCCTGCTGTGCACCTGAAGTGTACCAAAGTTCTTCTGTTGCACATGCTTATCCCTAATGTGCACCAATTGTGTGTTCACACCAGGATTACTCAGGGTCACATTCGTAAACAAGTAATAAGTTACACCAAGGTTACAGTTGTTGCTTTTGTGTGATATTCCCGTTCTGTCACATTTGTGCACAAAAGGTAGCCCTGGAATGGTAGCAAAAATTTTCTCTACAGGAGTGCACACTTGTAACCCCAAAATATAACATATTCACCAGTATTGTGACCCTGTTGTGCACCTATACTGTGGGGTCACAGCAAAAATAGCTCCCCACTTGGGACCAAACAGCAGTACATACATGAGATAGTATATATACACAAACAACAATTAACAAAGTAGGACTTCATTCCAGCTCATCATCATCATCATCATCTGTGCTGGATTCAGACAAGAGTCAGCACACACCACATTATTGCGAGAAGGAACACGTCTCTTTTTGTATTCACGGAGAATAGCATGAGATCAGTGCAGCAGGCAGATCCGAGTTGAGAGCCACGACGGTTTCCCCGATGAATCCCATGAACTATAGGTCATGATGAGACTGTTGATGGTGAGCAGGAACCTTGCCAAAACCACTCAACTAAGCAACTCCACAAAGGAGCGGAACAAGTCGGACTTTTGCCCTCCATATGTGCCTCAACTCATCATCAGTTCTTGAGCAATCATCGGCACGTACTGCAGACACCAAAATGCAATCATTCCAAACTCTGCTGTCTCAATGCAGTACTACAATATGATACTACATTCAACCGGTACTAATGGGATACATGATTGAAACAATTGAGTACCATGTATATGTTGTTGTCAGACTTAGTTAATCTTGATGTCTTACAATCTCCAATTTAAACGTCTTCAAATCTTTGATTGTATAAACTCACCCTCGTAAGATTATTTAATTAAGTCCAACAATTTAAGGTGAGGAGATTTTCTTGTTTCCTGTTGCCAGGCTAGGTAAATCAATAACTCCTCAACGTACAAAAGTGTGACAGCTTTATTTCGTATTCAACAGCAGAATCGTATGAAAGAGTTCTTTTTGCTCTGTTACACTGGGTGGTGATATTGTTGTTGACTTTCAATTTTAATTGGTGCCTTGTTCCACTTTGGTGCGGGGCGCTATCATTCGAATGCTCACGGACAAGTTGGTCGGCTGATTTCCCAAGCAGGATGCCGGACTTATGAAGTAGACGGGCAAATGCGGACAAGTAGACGACTCTTTACTGACAATTCCTGACAAATGACGTTGGAGACCTATCTGCCCAACGACTAATGCAGCGATTGAATGTAGTCTGATTCAAGACTATTCACAGCAGAAGGTGTTATATTCCAAATGTTTCAATCAGATCGCAATGTTTTTCAAGAGCGCTTTCTCTTTCGGTTTTCTGATTCCACAGCTCTGACTGTTAACATCAAAAAATGCGTAAGTCATTACAGTGGCAAACACAATTCACATTCAATGCAAAATATATGCACAACACTTTCATGAAAAAGTCGAGTACCTTATTGCGTGGATTTTCTATGTTATAATCAAAAATTTCCACCCTCGTTTCCCACAGAGCTCCGAGCTCTTCAAGACGGCAAACTCAAATGAGTATCCTCTGAATTTGCAAAGTCGGCGGTTAGGGAAGTGTCCTTCAATCCTTTAAACGGTTGCGCATTCCTCATTCAAAAATAATTCCATTGATCCATGCGGGAACCTCTCGCTGGCAGCCTTCCCACAGGATCAGGCAGATTCCTTAGATTTGTTCCGCCGGATCAAATTCACCAGTCGCATTTTGCCAGAATTTCACATGCAATTTGCGGTAGGCACAAATAAAATCAATTGCTGATCATCAAATATATATAAACAGAATTGATCAGTCATGAAATCATTTTCAAATGATTTCCTTTTGTTTCACCTTTCCGCAGGTGTTTTCAACATAGTAAAGAACTGAATCTTATCAAATTTTGAGCCATTTTGACTCCCAGGTTGCAATAAAAACATATAAACAAATAGCAACCAAATAAAAATTTCAGCAGCCCAATTAAAAACGTGAGGATCCTTTGAGGATCTTTACCACGGATTTTTACATCAGGCTGTATTAACCAAGTATTTTAATATACAAAGGTTTCATGCTATAGACGAGTAAGATCTAGAGGTTGCTCAGTATCAATGGTAACCAGTATTTCTTTTCTGACTGAGGGCTTCTACAGGCAACGATAGTTGGGTTCCTTCCATTCAGGACACCCTACCAAGCACGTTAATGTACTTGCCTCTTTCCAGAGGAGTCTAACCCTTTTGAGTAAACCTCGCCCAGTCGCCAGGAGACAGAGGCTGGGAACCGCTTTCAGCAGTAACCAGGGACTGCCCACAGGTCATTTGAAAACCAGAACAAAAAGAGGGACTGAATGAACCAATTTTTCAAGCTCAGAAATTTTTGCAGTTAAGCTTCAATTTCTCACACTCCCCCCGAAGGCAAGAGTGCTTTTTTCAGGCATTATTGGCTTCCATGGATCTCGATCGAGAATTGAAGGTTCTGTTATTGAAAGTCTATTTGTGCCTCTCAGCAGTTTTCCATCCAGAGTTTCAACCGTGACTTTTTGAACTACTCCATCTTTGGAGGGGTGAATTTCAACAACTTTTCCCATTACCCAAGAGTTCACGAAGGCGTTTGCTCACCTTTTGTCCACAAGGACTGTGTTGCCAATTTTTAACTGAGTGAGCCTTTTTCTGCCATGGCTCCTTTCAACGTTCAGCATTAGTAGATAGGAACCTCTCCATTTTTTCCAGAATTGTTTTGCTGTGTCTGCGATATGCTGAAGCATACGCAGACTTGATCCATTTAGCTCAGTCTTCCCCTCAAAGGAAGAAGCTGGCCTTAGAATCATTGCTGGAGAGAGAGGATTCCCTTCATCATCAAAAGCCAAAGGGCGTCGATTTAGGATCACCTCGGCCTTTACTAAACATGTTTTGAACACGTCAGCTGACCAGCGTTTTCCTTGAAGGCATATGCTCAGACATTTTTAAATTTCTTTAATCATTCTTTCCCAGGATCCTCCCTAATGGGGAGATCCTAGCGGGTTTGTTCTGAACTCCGTTTTCCACTCAGTGGGGCACTTTTCTTGGAGCATGGTGATTTCTTTTGCACCTCCTATAAAGGCAGTGCCACAATCACTCCACATGACTCTGGGTTTTCCCCTTCGATCAATGAATCTTGACAGAGCCAGGAGGAATTTTTTGGTGCTCAACCCTGTGCATAATTCCAAGTGTACAGCCCTTGTGGGCATACACATAAATAATAAACCCCAAAATTGGTTTGTCCCCTTCCCTTCATA